TGCAATGCAGAGAAATTTCAATGGGTAATATTTCTAATTTAACTTACATTCACTGGTGGACTCCACAAAATCCAAAACTACTTGCTTCCCATAGTTTTTGCAGTTTGCTCTTCTCTGGCTAAGGCACTTAAAAGTAGTGCAGGTATAAATGTCTCATGATTTGTGGTTCCTTGCTAGATTTTCTCCAGAAACATTCACTGGCTCCCACCACTCATTTTCACCCTGCCCTCATCTGCAACAATTCAACAGCCCTTCAAATAAGACAGAGCAATTTATTTAATTTTTGTGCTTTTTGTGTTCCCCCCCCCCTAAAATGCACATTGCTTTACTGATCTGATTTTGAGCCAGGCCCTTCAAACAATTGCTTTTGCAAAAGTATGAAGTACTGGAAAGTTGCGCTGGGGGTGGTAACAAGTCCCTGAATATGGGGAAAGAAGCAGGAGTCACTTGAAGACATTTTTCTGCCACATAAATTGTAACATGGAGCCATGCCCCAGGAGCCCATGCTGGAGCTGGTCTACTTTGCCTGAGCAATTGATTATTCATGAAATCAGTAAAGGTGGCTATAGGCTGGTGGTTTCAGTACTTCTCTGAGAAATGGGACATCCCTGTCCTTTTCCCAGCCTTAAGGAACAGTAATTTATTGAATAATACATCTGCTTAATATGTCTTCATTTTGTGAATGCTATTTAAGCTCCACAGCAAATTAGGACCTTTATTTCCAATTTTTCTTTTAGTAGAAATGGTCAAAACAAATTATTATTTTGGATGCCTCAAACCTGGGTACATCTTATGCTCTGAGTGATTTTTTAAAACTTCAGCACTTGAGCCAAAAATACATGTTAATAAAGTTCTGCAATAAAGGGGGCTACTTGAGCATATATTCCTCAAAATATGCCATCTCAGCATTCGCAAATGTGCTTGTTCTTCCTCTGCTCAGGAAAGGGTTATCTGACCCTTTGCTGCAGCCTGCTCAGTCAAGTCAACTATGCATAAATAAGAAGGAAACTTATGCAGGAAGAAAATGAAATTAGATTAATAATTAACATATACTTTATGCAAAAGCATGAAAAACTGTTCCAAAATTTCTCTGCTTAACTAAAATGTGAATTCACATAAAAATATTCTACACTGAAACTTCGTCAGCAGGTCATAAAAAGCACATTTCTACTTATTTAATAGGTCTGAGATTTATCTGATGTGTTTCATTTCTTAATGAATGATACATTTTTTTTCCTCTTAGTCATTTTAAGTGTGTGACTTCTGTAGGTTTGTGAACAAACAGTAACAGGCAAATCCCAGAAGTTAAAAATGGGTGCAACTTCACAGCATCAGCAATCAGTATTTCAAAGAGGCTTCCTAAATTTAGGAGATAAAGAAAAAAAAAAAGATGATTTTGAGCTTTTGTGTAATTATCTTGCTATAAGGTTTCCTTAGTCTCGTCAAAGGATGAAATAAACAGAAAAAGAACTGATCTTTGAAGAAGATCTAGTCTAATTACAAAATTTTAATTTCACTGTTTAAGGCCATGACTACTGTAGCTGCCTGTGCTCATGCAGTAAAAATCAGTCTATATTTAAAACAGGAACAGAGTAATCTAATTTTTTGTTTGTTTGTTTTGAAACAGCTGGATTATAAGTATATATTGCACAGTTGCATACTTAAGATTTAATTTGCTGGAGGATTTGCTTCATTTGTATGTGGCAGGGTAGGATTTACCTGGTAAAGCCCATGAAGCTTATAATGGAAACCTAAAAATAATCTGAATACTGTTCTATTTATTGGAAAGCAAACTGTGGAGTGGTCAGTGCCCAAATACAGACTTAGCACTTTCAGGAACTTTAATGGGAGTTGCTAATCCAAATGCCCAGAACACTTGTATAATTATACATGTTCACTGTATAAATACCTAAAATACAAAATGGCATAGTTTCCAGACCCCTGTATTTCTGTCTTTCAGATACTGTTCAGCCACATTTTGACATAGTAATTATTTATACAATGATAGATAGCCCCAGATCTATAATTCACTCATGGTGCTTAGGTCATTTCATGAAAAGGAAAAGTATAGTGCATTACTCTCTATGCATAATGTAGAGCATATTTATATTTAATGCTAACATTATTTTTCTACGAGGACACTATTTCTATGAGGTGCACTTCCTGTTCAGAATATTGTTTATTTTGTACAGATTTTCATTTTGAGATGAAAGAATGCTTGTTTCCCAAGAAAATATTGGCCACTTCTGAGGATCTTCCTTTATTTCCTTCCCTTCCATCTCTTCCTTCCTTTCCTTTCTTTCCTTTTTTCTTTTCAACAAATAAATTGTTCAGTGGAAATATAATGGTCACAAGTCATGTACAAGTTTTTTTGTGGACAAACTTGTCTAGCAATACTTATCAATATCATCTGGCTTTGATACCAAAGTTAAGAGATTATAGCAGAAATACAATAGTACCTTTGCCTTCCAATGAATACCTAAATTAATTTTAAAGTTAAAAATTTCAACCTATAGCAGCAGTAGAATCTCATTAATCCACACTAACAGGTAGGAACCTTATATTTATGCTGGCTTCAGATCACTTCATGTAGTCACATCAGGTATGTCAGAGGAGTGAGTCGCTATGTATAGGAAATCACCTGAGGAAGAAAACACAGAGGCATATTCATCCGAGTATTTATCTATAATGTTTATTGAAGCTCACAGAAGAGATACATTGTAAATCTGGGTATTGAGCTAAGGCTGTACACTGCAATCACCTTTTCAGAAAATGCCTCTAGCTAAAGTGCTGTGCTAACCCTTCTCTGGATTATACTCTGCATCAGGTAGTATATTATCCCTTAAAATATCTCCTTTTGTTCTTTAATTTTACTGCTAGTATACTAGCAGGAGTTAGCTTTTAGTGGGAAAACATGTTCATGCTGCTTCTGGCCCAGTGCTGGGGAAGAGCATTTCCTGCAGGTCACATGCAGCACTTGGGGACGCTGGTGCTCTTTAGTGCCCAAATGGGTGCTACCTTTTTGCTGCGGGGAGAGGGTTTATGGCAACATTGCTACAGGTGCCACAGAAGGAGGAATTTGCTAGATGGCTCAAGCAGGCTGACAATCCTGCAGCAAGCTGTCACCTTCCATTTTCTCAAGTGAGCAGTCCCTCCTCCTTACTCTTCTTGGAAAACAGAGCCTCTGCAAGGAGTGGGAAAGGATGGCTCTACGCTCCAAGCTCTTCCTTTGAGGAGGCAAGACTTCAGCTGTCCTGCTTTTCCCTCCAAGGCTGCTGGCGCACAGAACTCGGGGTCATTTTTAATCACCAAAATAGAGCTGATATCACTTTGGACTGATTCAGCGTACTTGGCGTACTGCCACCAATAGTAGCACCATGCCAGGAGGTTTGTGGAGACAGAGGGGGCAGTCACAGCTGACTTTATAAGGTGATTCTAGCTTTTTTGAGGCCAATACCAACTGTTTGCCGTTATGTCCACAGACGTGTTGTCACCAGCTTCCCCAAAGTCCTCTTAGCAGCCAGAAGAGGAAGAAGTGGGACCTCAGAATGCCAGCAATAACTGACAAAGCCATGCTTGATGGGTTCAGTGACCGTTAAGAGCAGAACTGTATCTCTAACAGCGGCCATACCACTCTGTGCTCCAGCAAACCTGAAAGTGTAGTTTCAGTATGCCTGACAGTTTACAAGAGGAGGGGAAAACATGATTCTTTTATGTCGTCTATATAATGTTATATTTATGTACACTTGTGTGTATGTAGATATATCTATACATCTTACTGTTATACAATGATCCTGGTCAGCAGAACGTAATTGTGGTATCATGGAGTCACACCTCCTTGGTCAGAGGCCCTTCTATCATCTTTACAGAGGTGCCCTCTTTTCTGTGTAAATATTTCTCCTGCTGTTCCTTTTTGCAAAGCAAAGAAGTTGTTTGCAAACTATTTGTAGAATATAAGCAGCTCCCACAAGGGAAATGCCCTTGAACCAGTGAGAGTGGACTGACTGCAACATACAGTACATGCTAATAGCATCTTCAGAGCATCTTCTACTATGACTTCATAGCAGAGGCATTTTCATTAAAATAGAAATCTTACCATGATACTTAGATTGAATTTTTACTGTCTTTGTATATTTCAGGTGAGTTAACAGTCACAGGTTGCTGGTTCATTGTTCAAAAGCTCCAAAGAATTACTCATCCCTAAGTAGTGCCATTTCCCATGATTGCCTCTTTGCTACTTTTATGAAGCACCAGGCGACAGAACAGGCAAATGACCAGCACAGAAAGCTTGAATCTGGCAGTGTTCCTAGTGCTCTGCCCAGAGTTAGTAAAATGAACCTGCTAATACATTACAGCTATTACAGCTGGCTCACATTGGGTGTTAATCGAGTATTCATAGTAAATTCACAGACTGATGCTTGAGACTGAATGATCATCTTTCAGGTTGCCTGATACCTTTATCTGACCAAATTCATGCAGACTCAGCCATGTGCAGAGGAACTTGGCATGGCTGCACTTTATCTGCCTTTTTATTTGTGGTGCAATAGGATAAGAATGAGAGGAAGAGAATATGTAAGGGTTCCCCACTGAGAATCAGTTCTATAAATTATGTATTATGCAGACACTATTCTGCTGATGCTATCTGATCCCCAATTCTCAGTTCCTTGTTTTTCCTTCTATAAATAGCTATGGCCAGGTTTTCAGTTGTAAAATGACGAGGACAAAACCAGAAACCTTTCCCATTTAACAACCTCTGCCAAAGAAGAATAAGGTAATATTTTTCATAACTGTGATGTCCTCAGGGCTTTAACAATGTGGGAATACAAGCAGCACTATGTTGTTGATAAGATACTGGTAGTAAAAGTGGGAATAACCATGCTGAATATTAAAGAGGGAAATGCCCTATTTTCAGGATGATTGTTATAAAACTTTGTATTGTGAATTTTTCTGTCAATTTTTGTCTGTGTAGGACCACTTTTGCTTTTTGTTTCTCCCTCTAGATCCAAATGCTTTGGCTGGACAGACCGGACCTGACCATGCTCTTATAGGAGGAATAGTGGCTGTAGTTGTCTTTGTAACACTATGTTCTATAATTCTCCTTGGTCGATACCTGGCAAGACATAAAGGTATGACAGATTTAGTGGAAGTTCAGTCACTTTTGGAAGCAAGGCATGATTTCACCTGGGAGTGCTGTTCTCTTTCACTTTCCCCCGTCTGCTAAACGATTTGAACAAGAAAGCTCAGTTCACAGTCCCGTCGCAAGTGAAGTCCCTGTGAATTTTAGCCAGTTTTCAGTGGACTGGCTGAGGCAAAGGACATCTAGTTACATGCCCAAGGTCATCTCATAAGTGAGTCATTTAAAGAGAGGAAGAGGTAAAAGTGCCCCTTGGTTTTGGCCGTTAGCTCTAGACACTTGATTTCATGATCTCATAGTTTTAACTAGTATATCAATTCCACAGAATATATATATGTATTGAGTGAACAAGATTTTTCATTTTAATAAATTGTGTTAATACCTTAAGTATGTATTTAAAAGATAATATTAGAAGCCGGTGGTGAGTTTTCAGATCAGTTACTTTTACCAATGATCCCACTGGAATAAGGGGTTCATTCCTGGGCCAAGCTTTACTTTATCCAGAGATTTCACCTTAAGAATTCTACTCCCTTCATTTTCAGTTCCCTCCACCATTAGAGATAACAGGCATGGAGTAACACTGACTTCTGACTAAGCTTCATTATAATCCTATTTTGACCTAGGTAATTCCAGAATAATTTCTTGATATTTAACCTCTGAATGGCTTGTAGACCTATTTGATTCCCTACCCAGCCCACCCCACCCCAAAAAAAGTGAAGAGAGTATTAGTGTTGGTATTAACTCATTAAATCTAATTTCAGATAGGATAATCATATGGCTAGCAGACATAAGGTGATAAAAACACCTTTTTAATTTATTTGGACTGTGCAGGGGAAAACCAAGATTTTTTAATGAGCCAGTGAAAGTGTGTCTCTTGTTTTACTTTCCTGAATGAAGTTATACAACTTATGCCAACATAAATAATGCTTTTCACAAAGGGAAAGTTAACTATTGTACACAATTCTTTTTATTCATATCCTCAGCATAAAAATATCTGTGATAGTTTATTATGAGTGGGTTTAGTTAATAAAACTACCTCAACTTTGTAATTCTTAGAAATGACTATGATGAAGTTCTGTACAATTAAAGTATAGATATGATCAAGAAAAAACAGAAATACAAAAATAATCAGTGGCCATTTTTTTTTAAAAAATAAGCGCTTATGAATATCTAAGTCATCAAAGTTGGTTTGTTTTTTTATGGGTACCCGTTCCATGAAATAACTAAGATTTTATCATGTATTCTGTAATTGCAAAATATGTTGAATATTATTGCAGTTAGATAAAGTGGATTTTTATTAAGAGATTTCCTTAATTTATTGTGGTTATACTGGAATTTATGTATGTCCATTATCAGTATTAATACTATAAGTATTTCTTAGACAAATTAGAAAGTTGAGCATACCTGCATGATGTATACTAAAATTGTGTAAAAAATATTTGTCCATTCATGAAGCAACTGGAGCATTGTTAGAAAAGTACATCCTATAATGCAGTGTAAAGCTAAAAAAACCCTAATCTTTCTTTTTTTTCCTTTTCTATTCTCTTGTACTGATTCCTATAGGAACATATTTAACAAATGAAGCAAAGGGAGCTGAAGACGCACCTGATGCCGACACAGCCATTATCAATGCAGAAGGCAGCCAAGTCAATGCAGAGGAGAAAAAAGAGTATTTCATTTAGATGCAAAGCTAGAATCTTGGAGTTTTGCTTATCAGGCTGACTGCTGGAGAAAACTGGCTATCATTTCTCAGAATTCATTCCTGCCATCTTCTGCTATCTTTATTAACTCACATAAGTAGCCAGTTTATGCCAACAGTCAGCTGTTGACATCATCATTCTATAATTACAGTATCATGCGTAAAGCAGGACATTTCTTATTGCCTAAAATTCATATCCACTGCTCTCTTAACATACAGTGCTTGAATATACAGCCTTAACAATGTTAATCATCATCTTAATCCAAGTTTTCTACATTTTTAAATGTTATGCAGCTTTCTTCTTTTTCAGTTTTCTTTTATCATGTCCCCACTAGTGTGTCATAGAACAATATTCATAACAAATACTATTAGGTGAGGACGTAATTTACTTACATAAAATGTTAAGTCTAAGATTAGAGGTTTACAAAGAATGTTTTATACATGTCTATCTAAAATTCAAAAAGCAACTTGTTTTTGAAACATATGCCCTAGGAAACACAAGCTGAAATCTTTTTGGTATAGTTTCTTGTATGCTTGGATTTGGTGGGAAAAAGCTATCCACTGAATTTTTTATTTTGTTTTGCTTTGTTTTGTTATGTTTTAAATGGTACCTTGACAACAGTGCCATGTTTCAGTGGTAAAAACATGCTGAATAGCTATACAGATTCTGCAAAGTTAGATAATAGTGCTTCATTTGAAACAAATTTGTCCTGCCCTTTTACTGCTTTTTGGGATCGCAAAATTAGAGAACTTGCTGAGTAATTTCTGGGTTTATAATTTATTAGCTTCACATGAACTCACCTGCCTACTCAAATTAGAAGTGTTCATGGGGCACAACTGCAAGGCATTTTAGTATCTGTATATAGTGCATATAACAAATTCAATTAAACATTATTTGATACATATTTAACTTTTTTGGCAGTAGCTAAGTCAGTCACAAGTAAGCATTTTCTAATGTCCATTATATCCCTTTAGATATGACTCAAATCAATATTCTGAGTAGATAACATGTATTAGTATTTTTTTGTCTGTATGTCCTAGCACTGTTCAGCAGCAAACTTTTCTAGTTCTTGTTAATTTTTTCTTTGTTATACAATGGAAGCACAATGTTATATGGAAAGGTAGTTTTAAGCTAACAACCAGTGCACAGCCTCAGGTTTTAAATTACAACCACATTTGATTACTATCCTTAAAAATACTATTGAGTTGCTAAAATTCTCAATTTTTAATTTGGCAGTTCCAGAGCTGCTTCTTTATGTTGGTTTGCCAAAAAAAAAAAAAAAGAAAAAAAAAAAAAGAAAAAATAGAAGTGTTAAAACAAAAGATATATGTTTTGTGTATACAGTAAATGGACTAATTCTTTATATTAAATTCCTGTCTATGCATTTTGTGAGGTACAAACTTATGTCACCGTGAATGATAGAGAATTCCTGCCATGCTTTTAGCTCCACAGTGAAAGTCTCTGTTTGGATTATTTCTGAAATTTTTTGTGTAATTGACAGCTGAAAAATCACACGCTCTTAAATATGGCAACAAAACACTGTAAGCCCATTGGCTTATTTCCTCTTCCAATGAAATAAAAAGGTTGCTATAACAGCTCTCGGAAATGATTCTACACTGGAGAACGCAAGTTAGTCTAGCTGGAGCTTGTCTTGCTCCTAAGTTTTGCACCTTTGACAAAAGAGTATTTCTCTCTGATTGCTGTACTTGTGAAGCCTAAAAGCATGATGGTCTGCTGTAAAGGACTTTCTCCTGGGATTTTATTTTTGTGTGGGGAAGGGAGAGTTTGGAATATGACATCATGTAGTATGGTAAAATGGAAGATAAAGGTGCTGTGTCAGATTATTTATCAGAAGAGTATAAACCTTTTAAGAACAATATTAGAGTATTTTAATTGTTTTTGTTGAAGCATTTATCTTGTTAATTTCTAAGAAAGAAGGGTGACGTCAATCAAAGCAGCACTTTTTTTCAAAATATACAGACATAAATAATATGATGTGGTTGAGTGTTAACATAATAAATCATATACAGTATGACATTTTAAAGAAATAAGTCTGCATTGATGTGATTGCATGCTTGTTTTTACAGTTCACTCCATACCCATCTGTGGAAAAATGCAATAATATGTTAATATAATATGGTAGTTTGAGAGAACCAGGTAGGTGCTACTAGACACATTGAAAACTAGTATAGGTTTACAAGATATTCATGTCTTTCAAAACATACACATGTAAAAGGCTGGCAAAGGAAGTAATTCAGTTTAATACCAAAAATATGGGTTCTTGTCACAACAGTAAGTTACATTAGCAAAAAAGTGAGTTACATTAGTACAGTATCACATATGACAAGGTTTTATTTCAGGACCTGGGGCCCAGTTCAGCTAAGCATTTAAGCACATGCTCAGCTTCAGGTGTCGGAGAAGTTCCATTGGACTGTAAGGCACTATTCATATGCTTAAAAATAAGTGCTTCCCTGGATGAGGGCCTTATTTGCTCAAGTGGAATTCCCCACCAGTGTGGTGTTTACACCTTTCTTCATTCTTCCTGACTCCAGCTTGCTCGAATAGTAGGGTTGTTACTTGAACCATTACCCAACCAAGGTCAGGTAGGACGTTCAAAAGCAGGATTGCCCTTGGGGTAACCATATCAAACCATTTTCTCCAGTGGCTTAGAAGCAGCATTTAAACATTGCAAAAAGAGATATAAATTGTACTGTTAAAATAGGTTATTTCATTGGTTGTCAGTGAAAACTTCTCACATGTGCTCATTTTTAACGCAGTTGATCTTCCATTATCTTGCACCTGATGATGTCCCTTGCATCTGTGCAAAGCAGGTGTGAAAAACCCCACACCAAGCATTCTACCTGGATAGCACTTTGCAGGCCTGTCTGGTCTTCACAGGTTTAAATTACTACACTAGGTGTAAAGAGGCATCCCTCTTCTTTATAAGCAGAACCATGGCTCAACACTAATGACATTCAGTAGGCTAAAAGCCAGTCATCCATTCCCTTTGTCCAAGATCCCATTCTGAAATACTGCTTTTATTATGGTGTGAGGTATCCAGCGAATGTGTAAAATAGAGGCTCTGAATGGGAACCACCCTCCCTAAAATGTGACATCCTCTCCCCCACGCACTTGCAGAGTAGTTTTCTCAAGACCAGGTAGCTAGTTTCTGCCAGTGTACTGTTTACGGTGTCGATTGCTGATTATTTTTAAACTTTTTGATGTAGTTTTTTTGGTTTTTTTTTAATGCTTCAAGAACATTCTCATGATTTGAATAAGAAAAAGGTGCATCAGAAGACAAGGGATGCATCCTCCCTCTCTTTTAGTGTCATCTGACAAACCAAGAAATAGTTTAAGGAACCTGATGTTTAACTTGAGGCTCAGAATTTAAGCTAGAACACTTTAAAAAGTTTCCACATTACTTAAGGATGGTTCGTCTTGCACTGAGACTCCCTCTAAAGGAATACATGAAGAAAACCAATTTTTCTAAGTAAGACATGAAAGTTAACATCTTGTGTATTTTCATTACAGTATGATATATATATATAACTATTTCAATTAAAAGAAAGGACAGAATCATCTGTAATTATGTAATTCATGATTGTAACAGCACTGAGTTTACCATGTACGCACATGTACAGTAGCTATTTCAACAGTTACAGTGTAGTTACATGTAATTCCCTGTAACATAGCAGTTATAGTGTAATTTAGTGCCACTTATTGTAAAGTGTTACCAAAAGGAAAATGGAGTTCTTACCTTTACAATTCCATTCAAATTAAAGGTAAGTTTATTAAATTAGCACCATAAATCTGCATTTAAGAATTAAGAATTGCATTTCTTAATTAAGGAGGTGATTTAAAACTTCATGTTCATACTGCAGCTTCCCCCACCGCTTACCCAGACTCCTCCAAGTGTCTAATCTCTACACTCCTAGGAACTGGTAATCTGTGATGAACATACCAAAAATCCAGCTACTTCAACTTTAATTGAGTAAGCTGTCTAATAGAGAAAAACAAACAACAAAAATAACGAGTAATGCTTTTTATTAAGTGGCACAAAGTACACACTAAAAACTATGCAAAAATATAGGTAAATACAGTGTACTTACATGTAAGTATCTTGTACTTGCTGTGTATGGATATTGGAAAACCGTGTAATTATAATATGCATTTTGATTATTTCAAGCAGGGGGATGACCCCTAAGAGTCATAAGGAAAAACTGGAAGGTACATATACAAGCAGTGGATATCCTAATGCAATATGTGTAATTCCTTTACTTGCAATGACAACTAATTTATAAAAATGCTTATACCACTCCTCATTCTCACTAGCTTTGTTTTCCATTTCTTTGAGGCCCATTAAATATCACTGAAAAACCTTTAGGCAAAGTAAGACACAGACTGCTAAAGGCTTTGCTGCCAGCACTCTGTATGTCTGGCAACACTGTTCTGTAATCTACTTCTGGCTCAACTGCACAAGTTTCCTCTTTTTTTCTGTCCTCAAGGGAGCCTAGTATATTAAGATGCTGAAATATGCTGCCATATGCCCTGGTATTTTTAGCATGAACAACAGAGAAAGAGAGCAAGCAAGCTGCATTCTCCTGACCCCTATTTTGCTGAATCACCTCACCTGGAATTTCCACTACTTGCTCAGTAACGCCAGGTAATCTTAAATTGTAAGTACAAAATGCTTCCATCAAAGTACAGAGGATGCCTTTAATGATAAAGCTAACGTTTTGTAAACATGAAGTTTTGTATTACTGATCTTTTTACTTCTCGCCACTTTTCCATCATACCCTTCCAGAAGGAATGCACTGAAAGACAGATAACATAGAATGGCAAAAGAAGAAAAGAATATTATAAGCCTTCTTGCGGCTGCCATTGCTATAACCCTCCTTTGTGTCCCGTGTAACAGGCAAATAGATGTATTTAGCAACTGCCATTAGCATCATTCCACACTACTGTTCCTAGAATATGACATCTACCTCTTAGTCTAAATACGAGCTATGGGATATTTGTATACATTTTAAATACTACTGAATCTTTGGTGTAGTCTTGAAATAAGATCACTGTACTATTTTTCTTCTGTTAAAAACAGAAAAAAAAATATTGCCTGGGTTCATAATTCTTGCCCTGTTTTTTACTAATTTTGGGATAGTTTGAGCTTTTAACAGGGCATAAGGACACAGCCTCAGCTGGTATAAATCAGCTTCACTCTGTTGCCTTAAATGTGGGCCAATTTACACTGGCTGGGGATTCATCCCAAACAGCTTAAAAATAAACTGGTATAACACATCAATATTTAATCAGCACTAGATAATGATGTGCAATTCAACTCCAACACAATTCTTCCCAGTAAGGCATGCAGGTTTGAAGAGAAACTTATAAAAGCACATGCAAGCTTTTGAATTAAATATGCAATACCAATACTGTTGAGATATTCTGACATGTCTCTTACTTATTTAAACATGATATTGCCAGGGCATGTTTACATTAAAAACACTCAATGCATGGGAGACAGGGAAGGACTATTGCAAACAATAACAGAAAATTAAATGGATAGAACAGCCTTTGATGTCAACAGAGCAGAGTAGAAACTTACCAAGTGTAGGACTTCCTACATGGTTTTTCAGAGTGGACCTAGTACCTCTAAAGCCTCTTCTTGCTATCAATTAATCTAACCCAGCACTCTGCACTTGTTTTAACTCAGGAGGAAATAAGGGTACAAGCATGGTTTAACACAGCACAGTTCCGTATCACTCCACATCCTCAGGATGCTCCAAGCTTTGTGCACTTCCAGCAGCCCTTAAGGGAATTCTTCCAGCATCTAGGAATTATCTTGTTGCCAAACCATGTTCATTTTCTTCAGCAATGTTTAATGTACTCACAGCCAGACGGAAGACGGTGTGGAGCCAATATGACGACTATACAGAACTAGGGGCTTCCAGAGCCTCTCAGTAGATGGCAAAAAAATAAAAAATTCTTCATGGCTTCTGTGTTTACTATAGATCTGCCTTCCATGTTCTGTGTCTTAAGTCATTTATTCTCTGCTGGGCTAAAGCAGCAGTCTAACTGGAAAGGACGTAGGAAAAAAAGTCTCTCCTCTAAAAGGAGCAGTCTGTGTTACTATTAAAAACAGTTCAAGAATTTTTATTTCTTCTTTTTTTAAGATTTCAGGTGCAAAGCCAAGCCTGTTGGGGTCAGCACTTTAGCACTTTCCCTGTGTTCAGGGTCAAACCAGCAGTGTTTCATGTGTGAGCTCTGATCTCACATTTCAGCACAAACTACAGACAGCCTTACCCTGCCCTTATGCACAGTGCTGAAAATCACTGATGCTATTTTCTTCTAAACATACTCATTTCCTTAGTCTTATTCTACCGTGAAATCATTGAAGGGTTTTAATAATAGGTTCAAAAGGAGGGGTTTTAAAGTAATAACTTGTAAAGAAAATAATAATGATGATCATCAACTGTTTATGTTGATTATGAAGAGGAGGAAAATCTTTAATTGCTGGACTGAATTCTTTATCACTTCCTCTTTCTCTCCTTTCTATGCATATTGATTAATGTTAGTAAACATGCAGTTGCACATGTTGTCCTTTTTCAGTGAAAGCAGATTTTCTTATACCCCTATATAGCTTCCATAGAAATATGCAAATATGACCTACAATCATGTGCTTCTGCCTAAACAGTGAGCCAAGACAGTCAATTCATGGATTACTGGATTACATTCATATATGTCCTGCTTCCATAAAAGTTGGGTACAATACACCTATTGATTTCAAAAGAACAAGGCTCAAGTCCTTAATGCACATGTTTGAGTTGCTATTTAGCTCTTGTCCGACAGAATTGTAAAGCAATCCTTGCACATCCTTTACTTTTAGCCTAGATATTTTATAACTACAAAAACCCTTCAGTTCGGCAGGAAGTTTCCTAGAATAAATAATAAGGCATAATTTGTGAAAGCACTATAACAAATTCATCTATTCATAGTCAGTGTAAGTGTATTCTCCTAGGAACTCCAGTATACTCTGCCTTTACACTGGCAG